TATATTTTTAAAAATCTAGCACTCAAGCTACATTCTGTTATATTTTTAAAAATCTAGCACTCAAGCTACATTCTGTTATATTTTTTCCACCTTGATGAAGACGACTACTGTTTTACACATGTATTCTTTTTTACCAGATTATATTGTACCTAGAATAAAAAGGCAAAATTGTAAGAAGCTTTTCCCTTCTGACAGTTGGCAACCACATTTTTTTCCTAGTGGCAAACTTATTTCATTTTGATTTCCAATGATGAAAGTCTTCAAATACTGATCAAGAAATAGTCTTTCATGAAAATGCTCTAATTCGATATGCACCTAAAACTAAGTCAGAAAAATCCTTGCTCTTACCCATATCTGATTATATCTCTGCATTTACCTGGCTCAAGCACTAATCTGACAGATCACAAGGTCACTGTGTTTTGCATATACTAATAAGTGGAGATTTCTATAAATGTAAACTAACTGAATGAGGTTCCTAATAAAACGTCCAGTCATTCTATATTTGTAGTTGTACTCAATTACTAGTTAGAATTAAAAAAACAATTCTTACAAATGATGAATTTTGGAAAGTCCCCAAAATGCTCCATCCAAAAGTTGTTCTATTCTATTTCTTTTCAGCTTTAAAACTTGAAGTGACTCCAGACCATGAAAACTAAGCCCTTCAATCTTCTGAATGTGGTTCTTGTTAAGCTCGCTATAGTACAGACAAAGTAAAGATTTTGAGAGTTTTTAGTTGTTAATTAATATGCAAACATTTGAGTAACAAATACTTAAATTCAACAGAAAACAAACAGAACAGCAAATATTCTAATACATATTCCAAACCTTTGTCAAAAAGTACTGAATAGAATAACACATTCACCCACTACAGCAATCAGTTTTTGGAAATATGATTACAACCAGTATACTTGTATCACAACTGAGATTCTGATAAAGACCAATGCATTTTTAACGTTAAAAAATGAAATGAAAATACAAAACGACTAAAACAATAACGATGGATACTGAAATTCTAAAATATATTAAAAACAATATTATTTCTACAAAGCAATACATAAATGCGTGTTTTAAATACACCTTACTTACAGATGCTTCAGAGTAAGCAGTTTTTTAAAGAGATTCTTTGGAATAGCAGAAAGTCTGTTTTTGTTGAGTTTCAATGTGTCCAGTCTTGTAAGGTTGTCCAGTGCACCTTCTTCTATGCTAACTATACGATTACTATTGAGATTCCTAATACAAAAAAATGACCCAATGAGACACATGTAATTAATTACTGAATATAGGAAAATTGGCTTCGTTATTAATGATAATACAGAAACATGTTTTTATAAACAGTTTTGTAGGTGGCACTAGTGATGTTTAATTATCAATTTTGATTAAAAACAAAACTAAATGGGCAAATAAATCGGAAAAACAACACACATTTCCATTTACTGCTGCCATCTACAGAGCAAATAGTGTATTACTTTAATGTTAAATGCTTGGTATCTTTATATTCTTATCGAGAAATACCTTAAGAAAACAATTAGTTACTTTTCTGTAAAAATGTGATAAATTTTATCAATAATTAGTTTAAATGAGAATTTAATTCCTAGATAATAACAGCTAATACATATGATTCGCAGAATTAACACCTATCTGCTGCACGTGGTTTTTGTACCGCACACATTTAGTCACAAGTAATATTCTACATTAATTGAAAAGGTAAACCTGCCCATATATATATGCATGGGCGTCCGCGGGAGGCAAGGGCGCATTTGCCCCCTCCCCCCGAAAAATGAGAAACATAATTCTCTATTTATTTATTTATTCATGTATATTCAAGTTTTTTTTTCTATTCAGTTCACAATTTCACACTACTCATTACACTTAATTTTCAATTCTAATAAAAGTCGCCAGGTTGTCAGCAGTTTTACTTAAAATCTCTAGATTTTATATCGATATAAATTTCTGTATCTATAGCTAAATATTGAAAAACGTCGCTACTACGGTTGATTCTTGGATGCTGGACATGTCAATTCTCATTCAGGTAACCAAAGAGACCAACGCGGTTTTACCGACATCCTCTGAGCCCTGGCACAGTGTGATAGGAGTCAGCAGGTTATCAGAGAACTGACGCAGTCTTGTAAGCATCCCATAGACAGCGTGGTCGGGGGTCAACCAAAATTTACTATACATATAGCTGCAAGTCTGCAGTATGGCTTAAACTAACCTTACAAATATTAAACCCATCAAATCGACAATGGAAGCTTGCCTGTTCTCTTTACTGTAATGGCAAAACTTTGAACGTGGGTCCATTTTCCCTTGATTTTGACTTCCTCCCGCTCCACCCCCTGGAAAAATTTCTGCGGACGCCCATGCCCTATGAACTCGCTATTTAACAAGACTTTCAAGACAGATAAAAACACAACGAGGCATTACTTACTTTATCATCCGATATTAAACAATAATGTAAGTCAAACAGAAACATCTTTATTATTCGCCCTAATATGTAAGCACCGAAGAAACTTTCTGCGTGATCGTTAAAATGTGGGTTTGATTACCTTTGATCTTTAAGAAGAGTAACATCTTCATCATGAGCCACAATTGTCAAAATTTAAAAGCTGAAGGTAATAATTATCTCTTACCATTTAAACGAAATACATAATCGACTTATAGTACAATTTTAAAACAGTGTTTCTACTTAAAGCAAAAAAAAAACCCAAAAAAAACGTGTTATCGCATAAATCTGTTAGTAAGCAAGCGAAGAAAATGCCTCGACGCCCTCTATGTCATTCCACAGAAGAGGTCGGCAAGGCCTAACTTTATCATCTATTGGTATAGCACTAGTGAATAACAACGTGTAACCAATAGCAGTAAAGAGTTTTTTATACAACATTTAACCAATAGCAGTAAAGCGAGTTTTTTTATACAACATTTAACCAATAGCAGTAGAGTTTTTATACAACATTTAACCAATTAGAGTAAAGCTACTTTTTCCACCAATATTTGACCAATGAGGGTAAACAGTTTTTATTCAGTGTTTAACCAATGGGTACAAAGAGTTTTTTCTTCAAGGAAATTTGTTACCAAATTGTGCTTCAACGCCAAGCTTTAAACACAAATAAAAAACGAAGACGTTTTGTACATTTCACAAGTAAACAAAAATGTTATTTGAGAACACGCAAGTGTTTCATAAAATGCTTGAAAAATAATACACTAACATGGAGAAATATCACATGAAAAAACCATCTTCTCTAGCTTCTTCAATGATTCGCACCTCTTTCAAAGGTTCCCGTTTTATAATTGATCGAAATTAAATGTTATACTTATAAATTTTGTAAACTCTTACATCCCAAAAATCATTATGCGTCTTTAACGTTACAACCATGTGTGTAAACCACGCAGACACGGCTAATATAACGGCGGATTATGTAAAACCAGTATGATGGCATCCTAATTTTCTATACACGACTAGCGAGCACTGTCTTGGGAAAGTTGCTGCCAAGCAACCAGCAGTACGACACTACCGGGGAAACCAATTCGAATGTGACACAGGAATGCGCGAAGTTTGGAAATGTGACAAAGTAATTAGTGTAATGTAACAAGTACTCCTGTGGATTTGACACACTCGTGCCAGATATGAACATATCTACTACGTATCCTGGGGCGAGCCCCCTTTATCGTATGGAAAAATTGCATCTGTGTACAACACCATAAGATCACTACAAAAACTATACTTTCTAAAAATGTTTTAAGGAAGCTGCAGCAAACAAGGTTGTTTTAAACCATATCAGATAATTCCTGAAACGTCAACCCCACTAAAAATTGAAATTTCTAGCAGAGAAACTTGTAAACAAAATCACTATTTCTGATTATTAACAAGCTAACCAAACAAAGCTTTCGTTATAAAACTGCTTCACGAATTAAAATATAAGGCTTAATCTAATTGTTTAAACGTATTAACCACACCACTGAAGTTTCTTTTTTTAATGAAAAATAATGCATTTCACTAGATATTTTATTGAGGCAAAGTGACAGACTGACAAAAAAAGAACTCGAGAGTCGTTTCTATGGAAACTCTGTAGTGTGTTTACTTTTATACAACGTGGCATTTTACTGAAGTCAAGTGTTAAACATAATAAAAGAACTCGAGAATCGTTTCCATGGAAACTCTGTAGACTGTTTTCCATAGAGCAATATATGTGTCACTGTACTATTATCGACCAGAGCCCTAGACACGAAAGTAACGATAGAGGCCTATCAGAAAAACTCTCATAGCAACCACTGTCAGACTTGCTGCAGTTTGACAAACTCTAGGGAAATCAAGTTAAAAGTACTGCCCTCTTCCCCCTCTGGGCCAGACAGATGAGTCACTCCCACAATCAACGGATAATGTTCCACTGATTATGAGCTCCCTTTCCTTCCATGAACAGTGGATACAACTCGAAGAATCACTTCAGGCAACGTATATATTGCCCCTAACCAAATTTACAAATATACTGACAGAGGTTCGTCAGAAAATCGAAGAAGAAAATCATCTCAACATCCCAATCAAAACATCTTCTTCACTACCTACAAAACACAAATTTATTATCCATTAGGGATGCGAACGTTTCCCTAGATAAGCAAGGAGGAAACGAATAAAATATAGTTAGAATGTTCTATTTGCATTATTAATATGGTGGGTGTTTTTCATCCTTTTGTACTTTTTATGTGAGTTTAGCATCAGATAACACAAAACCCGGTTAGGAAATGATAATGACAGCTTTTGTTCAGGAACTCCTAAACCTGGTTAGGAAGAGTCAATGGCAGCTTTTTTCGGGAACCCAAAAACCTAGTTGGGACTTGTTAATAGAACGGTGTCATACAGAGGTTGTCAAACTAATGTACTGTAGCTCTATTTAAACATTTCCATCAGACCACAGCGAGCAGACTAATATATAGACACAATTTAAAATAGGCGGTAGTGAAATCCAACGTTAAGAAGTGTTAAAACCTCCATAGCTCTCGTCCTAGTACCTGCTTGGATATTATACGATATAATCTTTAGGTGGTTCTCAATACTTCGTCGATTCAAAGCTTTTTACCTGTACAATCTCTATGCTATTTATATTCAACCACTACGAATTCCACACGAAAGCGCTAAGTGGTATGAACGTTTGTTTATTATCAACTAACGACAGCCGTACAATATTCATGCAGTTGATTTATCACCACAATGCCATATCACATCTCTGTTTTTATATAACATGCGATTTTGTCAACAAGCCATTAATGAATTTAACATCCTTGGTAAGACTTGTAAACATTACCATCACTAACTACAATAAACATCCTTGGTAAGACTGGTAAACACTACCATCACTAACTACAATATACATCCTTGGTAAGACAGGTAGACATTACCATCACTAACTACAATATACATCCTTGGTAAGACTGGTAAACATTACCATCACTAACTACATATACATCCTTGGTAAGACTGGTAAACATTGCCATCACTAACTACAATATACATCCTTGGTAAGACTGGTAAATATTACCATAACTAACTACAATAAACATCCTTGGTAAGACATGTAGACATTACATTCACTAACTACAATATACATCCTTGGTAAGACAGGTAGACATTACATTCACTAACTACAATAAACATCTTTGGTAAGACATGTAGACATTACCATCACTAACTACAATAAACATCCTTGGTAAGACATGTAGACATTACATTCACTAATTACAATATACACCCTTGGTAAGACATGTAGACATTACATTCACTAATTACAATATACATCCTTGGTAAGACAGTTAGACATTACCATCACTAACTATAATAAACATCCTTGGTAAGACTGGTAAATATTACCATCACTAACTACAATAAACATCCTTGGTAAGACTGGTAAATACTACCATCACTAACTACAATATACATCCTTGGTAAGACTGGTAAATACTACCATCACTAACTACAATATACATCCTTGGTAAGACAGGTAGACATTACCATCACTAACTACAATAAACATCCTTGGTAAGACTGGTAAACATTACATTCACTAACTACAATACCCCTGATGCTACTTACAAATTAAGAAGTTTACTTCCATTGTGAAATGTATCAATAGGGATGTCGACTATCTTGTTATTGTCAAGATTTAATATTTCAAGATTTTCGTACTTCTCCAGGACTGTAGAGGTAACAGTGTAGATCTCATTATGGTCCCTAAAACAAAGAATATAAAACTTTTACAAGAGAAATATACAAAACTTGTAAGACTTTGTTGTTACAATATTTTTTCATACGTTTTGTAACAGCATCAAACACGTTTCTATTAAAACTGAAAAACAACAATGGCAGAATCTTATTGAGCTCTACAAAGTTATGATCATTAACTGTGACCAAAATATGTTATAAAGGAAACATAAAGCGCACATAAACACAAGTAAATTACAAATACTGCGATTAATTTCCCAAAGGAAGTATGATGGTGGTTTAATATCATTTATTCTAACAAAATTCCATTTCTTTTTTAATGCTAGCAAGCAAACTCGTAAAGAAAAAAAAATATATGTGTTTCTGCATTTACTCTGGGCGATGATTTATTATTACTCAAAAGCTCAAGCAAACAAAAAATTCGTAAACGTCTGTAGTGGTAACTTTCTACCTAGAAAGAACAAAAGTAATTCAGACTTGACGTCATCAACCATGACAGGGTTGTTTTGACAGGTGCAGTGCTGATCACGTGCCTCGAGTCAGAAGCAGAAGTAGTAGAGGTTTAAAGCGATACTCTGTATACATCATAGTACATAGACTAAAGGCTTCGTAAGCTTTCAGAATGCGAAATACTTAGTCTTACCACTACACACTTTTATTGAAGCTCTCATTTTCTTTCTTTTTGGTTATAAATAAAATGGCTTTTTTGTTCCCACCCTTTATACCTTTTAATCATCCAATAAAAATGAACGTTTTATTGTACGTAGTACCGAAAACTATGCATATAAAAATATTAGCTCATCTGAGAAGAAAAAGTTCGAAATTCTAGTGTTAAAGTTTTTGAGGTAATAGTTACTCGAGATTTCATTTCCGCCATTAAAAGGTTGTAGTTCAGTTGGATAATGAGGAAAGCCTTGTTAGTTCTCCTTAGTCGTCGAAACAGTTGGATGACCTGACCAAACTTCACTAAACGGATTACATTAAATGAAATAACAAAGTAAACAGATTTCACAATGAACTGGCCATCTGGTGCTTCCAACAGTTTGTTCAGTCTTTACGTGACATTTCCCACGTTTTCCGCCTACTAATCATTATTACATCCTATTGGGCTCCCCTCCTCCCGTTACTTCATCTCTCGCGTGGCCATTGTTTTTCATGAATCCAATTCAAGAGAGTTCAGGGACCGAGCCTTGACAGGCTGCTGCTACTGAACAAAGCGACAGATGTAATTACTCCTACACTGCCGGCAACGGATCCAATTCTCCCGAGATAAATCATTTCAGCGGATGTATGCCGGCTGCTACCGCAGTTTCACCATCGGGTTGCATTGATGAAGAAGCCGTGCTGCAGCACGAATCAAACCTTCTAGATTCTAGAAGATGGTTGATAAGTAGAGCTTATCACAACTCATGATATAGTTCCACACTTGCATATCTAATTCTTCTTCGACGCTTTGTAAAAACATACTAAATAAAAACATGTCTGTCAGTCAAAAGGAATATTTATAGCCACGTAACATGGCGACCAACACGACCACAATGATTGCTGCAGGTGGTCCAGACACAGATCATCTCACAGTTCTAAACTTTACCTTATCTGTGGGTGGTTTAAAGTTCATCAATGTGTATCATTTGCAATTGCAATTAACTTTGTATAAAAATAATATACTTTCAAGAAGTCTCATCAATCTCGCGCTGTGAGGACTTCTTGATGATGATGGGAGGTTATGTGGTAAGACGTTATTCGGTACGCAGGGTCATAGTAACATTAAAGTTGTTACAAAACACTTGAAGTAAACTATTGGGAAAGAAGCTACTTTATTACAAAAAAACGTTAACTTACCAACACAAAAATATCATAAAATAACTAGAAGATGATGTCACCAACTTTCACAAGCAAACACTTTCTCTTACGCGGCTTTCCTTAATGTCGCGTCAATAACATACATAATTTTATTTAATGTTTTTCTTAAAAAGTTAAGACTACACATCTGATAACGAGGTATCACCTGCTTGATAAAAACGTGAATTTTTAATACTTACAAATTAAGAACTTTTAAGCTCTTCTGAACTCCCAGGTCCGGTATATCGCCCAAATGATTATGTTTGATTTTCCTGTCAAGATGAATAATGTTTTTTTAAATACATTTCGTACAGCCTTAGATATAAAATAACTCGAAGAGCAATGCATCGTTAGCAGTTCTTACTAAAAAGATAACTACATTTCTATTACTACTGTAAAAAATTGAAAAAAAAAGTGATATAACGTCTAAATACAAATCAATTACCTATGGTGTCGAGAAAACTGTCTTGAAAACAAATAACGTGTTAATAAACAGATATGAGATATCTCTTTCCTTCTGTTTCATGGTGATTATGTCAGCAGTAAAACAGCCCGTTTATCCCACGGGTATGCCCTTACCCTTAAAGTCAGGCGCATTACATTCAAGATGAAAGTTCGGGTTATTATAATTTCGAACAATTCTTGTGTTTCAATGAACAGATGATTAATAATAGCTTACAGATCACTGAGACGCGAAATAATTTACTGGCTGTATTTACTATTGAGAACTTCCGCTTTTGTGTTGATATTTCTTAGCAAACTGAATATTTATCATTCTCTGTGATTATTAAAACATCTAACAACTACTGTTTATGTACAAACACGATTCACGTACTAATATTAATAAGTAAGAGACAGTAATTCCCCTACAAGTTTAATAATACAACACTGTTCTTTACATAACTAAGTATCATTAAAACATCTAACAACTAGTGATTATACGTATCATTAAAACATCTAACAACTACTGTTTATACGTATCATTAAAACATCTAACAACTACTGTTTATACGTATCATTAAAACATCTAAAACTACTG